TAGGAGAACAAAAAGGGAATTGAAATCATGGAATGGTTTGGGTTGGAAAAGACCATAAAGATAATTTAGATCCAACCCCTGCCATGGGACACCTTCCATTATCCCAGGTTGCTCCAAGCCTCATCCAACTCTTCCCTGGATATTTCAAGGGATGGGACATCCAAAAGTTCACTGGGAAATCTTTATTAAAAATCAGCAACACTTGGAGGGGACAGACCTGACACTACATGGCCTCAAATCCTGCTGAGAATTGGGAATTTTTATGGAGCAGTGTCCAAAGGTGGGTTAAATTCTAAATTTGAAGGGAAACAGAGGAAAAGAGGAAATGCCTGAATTCCAGCAAGGGACAGAGCCAGCAGAAGTTTTGAGGAGGTGGAGAGCAGCACAAGAAAACCACAACTGGAGAAGGCTCCACAAAGCCTCTCCCCATCATCCCAAATCCCATCGTTTTCCATAAAACACTTCCACGGAAGCCAGAGATGATTTTCCTGAAATTAAATCCCTCCCTTATCTCATCTACCCACTTGGAAGAGCCCAAAGGCCACCAGACACAGGAGCTGCAGCAAAACCACTTTCCACACCCAAATCTCCAGGACCTGCTGGAATTCCAGCCAGGATAATTCGCAGAAAATCCCAAATACGGCCAAATTTATCCCATGTTTTCACAGAGACACGTGGATTTTCCCAAATATCCGATTATGACCAACTAAAGAGGGAATGATCCCAACCAGGACCAGGCGAAAGGTATTTGACCCCTAAATCCCTTGACACAAAGATCCTAAAAGCTTTCCAACAAAATTCATGGATCACAAGTGCCAGAAATAAGGACAGATGCTCCAAGAATCTTTTTTTCTGGGAATATCTGTCTCCACCTTAGCTCTGCCTTTGGAGAAGACTCAAGGGCATTCCAAAAATTAACAGACCGGATATAAATTCCCTCAAAAAAAACCCAAACTACAGCACGCAAGCCCACCGGAGTGATTCCCTAAATTGTATTCCAATCACTTCCAAACCTTCTTCAAGCTGGATCCCGGTTACGATGCTGATTTTTATATGGAATGAGAGGATGGAAAGGAGGATGGTGCTGTATCCATGCAAAAAGGGGGATAATGAGCTCACTTCCCAGCCCTGCCTTTAAACATTCAACCTCTAGCTCCACGCAAACACAACCTTTATCCACCAGAATTCCTCAGGAGAAGGGGAATTCCTTGAAGGATTTTTCCCTCCCGCTCCCTGCCCATTGGGATCATCTCCAAGTCCAACCCAGTCTTCTCCACATGCAAATTCCTTCCGGCTCAATCCCGACCCGGCCGTTTTATTTTAGTTTTTTTTGGTTTTGCATGGGTGTTACCCCCAAAGAAACTTCTCCTACTTCACTTCCAGAGCGGGAATGCCCGGAGCAGCCGGATGGGAGGGATTTCCTGCAGCAGATTCCTCAATCCCCATTTTCTCCGCCGCTCTGTCCGCTTCCAGGGCAAAATATCGGGATTCGGCCCTGTCGTAGGTCACCTTATTCAGCCACACGGATTCGCTGTCCTTGTGCAGGAAAAAGCAGGTGGGATTTTCCTTGGGAACATCGGGAAGCTGAGGGTTGGTGGAGGCCATTCCCGTTTGCTTCCCGGGGTTGTGGTTCTTGGATTCTTCCGGGCAGCCGCGTTGGATTTCGAGATTCCCTCCCTGGAAATTCCACGATCCGTCCCGCTGGGTTTTATCCGAGGGGTGCCCGTCCGACATCTTCTCGTAAAAATTCTTCTCGGCGTCGTCGTAGAGAGGCTTTTCCAGCCACACCTCGGACGCCAGGACTTCCCAGTTGGAAATCTGCGGCTTCCCGTTGACCGTCTGCCGGTCGGAGCCGGGCACGCTGGCAACGGAGGCCACGGGAGAGTTGGGAATGCCGGGAGCCAAGCCCGGCGTGGCGGGAGTGGGCAAAGCCGTGCCGTAGCCCTCGTCCGGCGTTCCCAGCCTGGAATTCGCCCGCACGGATGGGATGGCCAGGACGCTGGGAGGAAGGAAAAACTGGGATTTTTCCATGAACACCCTCTCGGCCTTATCGAAGTCAAACTTGTTGATCCAAACCCCTTGGACAACGTGGTGACAGGCGGCCAGGCTCCCGTGGGAACACGCCGGGAACGTCTTTGCCTTGGGAATATCTTGGCTGGATTTCAACCTGGTCGCGCCAGGAGATTCCTGAGCCGTTTTTCCAGTCTCAGGCGATTCCCAACTCTGGGAAGCCGCTAATTTTATCCTGTAGGAGCTCTCGGCGCGGTCGTACAAGGGCTTGTCGAACCACACGCGCTCCGCCGACATTCCCGCCAGGATCGCCTCCAGCTTGGAATCCTGAGCCTTGGGCTTCGGGGAGCGCTTCCGTTTCCGCTGCTTTTTGCCATTCCTGGTTTTTTTCGGGTCCCCCTTGAATTCCCCCTCGACGGAATCCTCGTGGCAGATCCCGTTGACGGCCTCGGGCTCCGGCGCTTCCCGCTCCGGCGTTTCCCGCTCGGCTTCGTCGCTGCGGTGTTTTTCCAGCCAAGCTTTGTCCACGGAGCAGGGATTTTTCCGTGTCCTCATCTTCCCCAAAAAAAAAAAAAAAACAACGGGCAGCACGGAGAGATAAGCACAACAAATGTAGCGGCAGCAGAGCAAAGCAAGGGCATGCAGGAGATGTTTTTATCTGTTAAGATTCCCGGGAAAAAGAGCGAATATTCCATTTATTTCTCCCTTTTGGGATAAGTTTGAACTCCAAGGAATTTAGTGTGTATGAAAACGCCTTCCTCCTAAAATATTCCTGCCAAGAATTCCCCACATTATTTGAAATTTTAAGGCAGAAAACCCCACAGGATTTTGTTCAAATCCTTGGGAAATATAGGATATTATTCCAAGTGAGTGGATTAGTAATTAATTATTTGTTACTTATTCCCAATTAGGCAAAATTTTGGGAAAACTGGATCAAATTGTTGAGTTTTTGGAAGTTGTTGTTTACTCCCGGTTGGGTTTTTGCACCAAAAGGCAGCTGCTGAAAAACTGGGATTGAATTTTGGGATATAATCCATGTTATTGGCAAATTAAACTTATCCAGGAGCTGGAAATCTCGTGATTAATTCAATAATTAATTAATAAAAATTGATCTGTGGCAGGTTTCCAAATAAAATTCCCAGCCAGATGAAATATCCTCAAAGCTAAATATCCTCCAAGAATTCCTGGAAGATTTCGAAAGCCTCAAGTCCAAGGCTCAACTTTAAATTTAAATTTAATTTAAAATTTATTTGGTTTAATTTAAATATTAATTTTAAAATTATTGATTTGAATTTAAAACTTTATTTAAAATTTACTCATAAATGCTTTTTTTGGGTCTTGAATATGTGCATTCTAATTTAGATATTAATAAATTAAAGTTTTGCCTTCAAACATTTAATTGGTAGAGTTTAAAATATTAATTAGATTCTAATTAGACAAATTATTAGGAATGGCAAAGGAAGATTTTTCTTTTTTTCCCCCTGGAGTTGGGGAACTTTGATACGGCTAAAAATGCTTGAAAATTGAGATTTCAATTCTGAATTTAAAGAAAAAATTCAAAATTAAAGCTTATTTGGATTTAAAAAAATTATTTTATGGAGCAATGAATTAGTTTTAGGATATTTACACAGCAAAACATTTATTATAGCGAATAATGAGTAAAATAATAAAAAAAATATCGGATTTTGCATTAAAAAATTGTCTAATAAATATCCCACTGGTGCTGACATTCCCAGATTTTCCAGAATTCCCAAAAAAAAACCACAGAACAACTAGAAGGTACTTACTTTTTTTGCTCCTATGACAGCATTAAAAAAAACAGAGGACAAATTTTAGAGAAAAATTCCAATTTCTGTGGATGCAGCAGCTCCTTAGCCAAATAATTTCATTAATAATTAATGGCTTAATTAATTACAATACATAATGAAGTTTAGAGCTAATGAACTACCCAGAACTCCATGAAGTTTGCGAACAAACACCACAGAAAATGAGTTTATTTTCATTTTAATAACAAGGAATATTACTGTGACGTTATCCAAAAGGATTTTCCCATCCCAGCAGCCTCAGAATTCCCAACCCGCCATCCCAATCCTGGCATGTGTGGATGGAACTCAGGATCCCAATTTTTGGGTGATTCCAAACATTCCTGCAGCACCTCTTTGCTTCCATGAGCAACCAAATCTTATGCTCAGTCCTGAAAAACTCAAAATTCCAAGGAAATAAAGCTTCTAAACAAGGAAAAACTGGGGGAAAAAAAGTAATTTCTCTTCTGTGCGCACCAGTTTTCCTGGAAGAACCTGGGAAAAAGGAATTTCAATCACACAAACCATCAACTTTTAACATTTTCCACTAAAATTGCAATTTTTACCTCCACAAACACAAAGTTTTAGGATTAAGAACCACGCTGTGGCATTGGGAATGCTCTCCTTTGGGAAAAGTCACGGCCCAGAAATTCAGGATGAGCTCAAGAACCATCAGGGAAATCAAAATAAAGCAAAATATTAACACTCGTATTTAATATTTTATTCATTTAAAACTAACTTTTCTGCTGGTTTCATTCCTTAAAATCGGCTGTTCCTAAATTCCTGCTGGTTCCATCCCCTAAAATTGGCTTTTTCCTAAGTTATCATCTCCTTTGCTATGACACAAAGCTCCACATTCCAGCGAAACACCACAATTCCCATCCTTGGTCACCTAAAAACTCAACTTTCTGCTCCAAGCTGAAAATTCCTAACAAGATAATCATGGATATGGGAAATGAGCAGAAGGGAAAGACTTGGGAAGTGTCACCTTGGAGAGAAATAGAGGGAAAAAAAAAAGAGTTGGGAATGAGCAGCTCAGGTGAGGAAAAACCCTACCTGAAGGTCAGGGAGAAATGGGATACACCTGGAAAAGGAAAAGAATTACAGCAAAACAGCCCAGAAAAGGGAATTTCTCATCCCTAAGGATCGTGATCTTCAGGCTCCCAACCAATTCCAAATCATCGGTGACCCGGATGCGACAGAACAAATCCACACGGGATTTCTGGGAACGCCGATGCGGCAGCCTCAGCAAGTTCAGTTAGGGATGTAATCCTTCAAAAACCCCATGGAGCACAACAGCAGGCTCTGCCCATTCCCAAAATAGTTTGGAAATGGATCCCTCCCTCCTGAGCATCGAGATAAAAAAAAAAACAAACACCACGGAGAGGACAAATCCCACCAAGGTGACGGAAATTTGGGAACAGGGGCAGGTGAGATAAGCAGAGCCCAGGTGCACCTAGAGTTGATTTTCCAGGTTTTCCAGCTCCGGGATAAGTTTGGAAAGGCAGCCAAAGGGGGTTGGCATATGGGATGGATCAGCTGCTCCGTGACACGGCAGCAGCTCCGGTTTCCCCTTTGCAGCAAGTGACTGGACAAAAAAATTCCCGGGAATGGGGGGAGGAGCAGATCCTTGAGGCACCTGGAGCAGCTGGGGAAGTGTGGGATCCCTAAATTCCCTTCCTTACCCAGGCAGGAATAACAACGATCCCTTTCCCCACCACCCCCAATGGCTTTAATACATCAGGAATATTCCCAAAAAAAAACAGAGAATGTGTCCCCACAATCTGTGGAAAACCAAAAAGGTTTAGGGAGACCCCCCCCACCAGCACAACCCCTTACCTGTAACAGAGAGTTCCTAAATCCTGGGAAAGGAAAAGGACCACAAAGACATGGAGAATCCTAAAATCCCCCCATTCCCTCTGCTTGGCAAGGGGAAAGGGATCTCCCAAATAATGAGGGAATCTCCCACATCCTTTTTTTTTTTGGAGGTGTGAGGGGAGGAGAGACCCCACAGGGAACTTCCACATGCCCCTTCCCAGAACTTTTAAGGGAAAAGGAACCTAAAACATTGGGAGTGGGGAGTGCCACCACAGCGTTCCCTGGGATTTTAAGTGGGGAAAGGAATCCCAAGGATTTGGCACCCCCCAAATCCTTTCCTTCAGGACTTTTAGGGACTTCCACGATCCCCTTTTCAGACCTTTTGAGGGAAAAGGGACCAAAAACATAGGGAAAGGTTGGGGGGGGGGGGGGCGGGGGGTCACCACAGTATTCCCTAGGATTCTAGGCATGGAAAAGTTATCCCAAAAACCAAGAGCACCCTAAATCCTCTCCCTCAGGACTCTGGAGGAATGGAATGGACACTAAAGACAATGGGATTACCCCCAAAAACTCCCTTTTCTGAGGTTTTACCAGGGCCAGAGACCCCAAAAATTCCCTTTTCCCACCACTGTGGGGGAAGGAGCCCCATTCCCTATGGGGACACCAAGTCCCTCTTTCCACAGGAAACGTGCCCTAAAGAGAATAAAAGGGGTGACCACCATCTCCTTCTTGGCGACTCTGAAATTACAAAGGAGCCCAACACACCCTCAAGGGCCCCCAAACCCCTTCCCCCATAGATCAAGAGGGCCCCCCCGACACCTCTCGCCCTAAAGGGATAAAGGACGCTCCGGAGACCCCCGAAACCCCCATTAGCGAGGCTCAGCGAGAGGGAAAAAGGAGCCTGACTGGGGGTATAAGGAATGGTAAGGGCTGGAAACCAGGACTCACCGGCAGCGTTGATTCCCCCAAGGCCGCTCCGCTCCCTTCGGCCGCCGCCGGGATAAAGAGGGGCGGCGTGCGCCGCGCGGAGGGTTATGGGGGAGGCGCGTACCACACGTGGCGCGTGGGGGGGGTGGTGAAGGGGATGCGCTGCGGGGAGACAGCGTGTCCCAAGCACAGCGCGGGGCCTGTCCCCCCCCACCATAAAAGGGACATGTGGAACATCACGGGGAGGTGGAAGCGGAATGCGCAAACCACCCCCCTCCGTAACTGTTAGGCTGCGCCTCTCTCCCCCTTTTCCTTGCCAAGGTGGATTCGTCCTCGCGCCGCCGCTAACGCCCGTGGGTTGTACCACGCTGCGAAAAGGGGGGTGCGACACCTCGCTGCTACCCCCCACGCTACTTCCCCGCCTCCCTCAGGATGATCCCCTATATTTTACGGGGGGTATTAGGACAGAGGAAGCTCCGCGCTGTGCGTGCGGCGCGTTGTCTCCATCCGCGCACTTCTTCTCCCTCCCGTCAAAGCCAAGTGGGACAGCTCAGGGGGGAACGCGACGGGGGGGGGGGGGGGGGGGGGGGGGGGGGGGGGGGAACAGCGGGGCGGCGCTCTCCCCCCTTTTCGCAGAGTGGTACAACCCAGAGGCGCCGGTGGAGCTGGGAGGAAGAATCCAACTTGGCGAGGAAAAGGGGGGGGAAGGTGGTGGGGGTGCGCGCATGCGGGGGAGCGGAGCGGAGACAAAGGCGGCGCCGCGCCTCCCCCCCACCCCGTCCCCGCATTCCCCCCGGTTATAACGCGCCCCCCATTCCCATGGACGCGGGGGTCGCTCCGTGCCCGAGGGGGAGCCGGAGGAGGGCGGGGGAATGGCGGGAGGGCGGCGGGCAGGAGGAGGAGGAGGAGGAGGAGGAGGTGGAGGCAGCAGCGCATCACCCGGGGGGGTGTCGGTGAAGATGTCGCTTCGCCGCGCCTACTCCATCAAGGACAAGCTGCAGGCTATCGAGAGGGTGAAGAAGGGCGAGCGCCAGGCGTCGGTGTGCCGGGCTTTTGGGGTGCCGGGGGGTACGCTCCGGGGGTGGCTGAAGGACGAGGCGAAGCTGCGCTGGTTCCTGGAGCAGCTGGGCGGCGAGGTGGGCACCCAGCGCAAGAAGATGCGCTTGGCCAACGAGGAGGAGATCGACCGCGCCGTCTACGCCTGGTTCCTCGCCCTGCGCCAGCACGGCGTGCCGCTCTCCGGACCCCTCATCCAGGCTCAGGCAGAAGCCTTCGCCCGGCAGATCTACGGGCCCGAATGCACCTTCAAGGCCAGCCACGGTTGGTTCTGGCGCTGGCAGAAGCGCCACGGCATCTCCAGCCAGCGCATCTACGGCGAGGGCGGCGTGCCCGCCGAGCCCGAGCGCGCCCCGGCCGCCCGCGCCGAGGTCGCGCCGGACGCGGGCGGCTACGGCGACGAGCAGATCTACAACGCCAACATCACCACGCTCTTCTGGAAGCTTCTCCCCGCTGCTGGAAGCGCGGCGAGGCGGCCGGCCCGCGGCGAGCGCGTCACGGTGCTGCTGGCCGCCAACTTGACCGGCTCCCACAAACTCAAGCCCTTGGTGGTCGGGGGTCTCCGCGATCCCGCCAGCCTGCGGCATCACAACCAGGAGAAGTTCCCGGCTTGTTACCGCTACGGCGCCGAGGCCCGGCTGGCGCCGGCGCTTCTGCGGGCTTGGTTCTTCGAGGACTTCGTGCCGGGCGTCAAGCGGTACCTGCGGCGGAGCTGCCTGCAGCAGAAGGCCGTGCTGCTGCTCCGCTCCGCGCCGAACCGCTCGGCAGCGGCGGCTGAGGGTTCCCCAGCTCCGCTCCAGACTCCGGACGGCTCCATCCGCGCGCTCTTCCTCTCCAAGGGTCACTCCGGGAGCGGCTTGGCCGGAGCGGGAGGCCGGATCCCGGCGCCGCTGGAGCAAGGGGTGGTGTTGGCCTTCAAGCAGCTCTACAAGCGGGAATTGCTGCGCTTGGCCGTGTCCTGCGGCGGCCCCGGCAGCCCCGCGGACTTTGTGCGCTCCTTCCTCCTCAAGGACATGCTGTACCTGGCCGGCCTCTCCTGGGATCTCATCCCGCCCGGATCCATCGAGAAGTGCTGGCTGCTGGGGCTGCGCGCCGCCTTCGAGCCCCAGCCCGGCGAGGAAGAGCACGGGGACGCCGCCGCGGGAGGGGAGGAAGGCGGAGGGGACAGCAAGGTCTTCAGTGACCTGACCCACCTGGCCGCCTTGGCCTTCAAGCGCCTGGCTCCCGAGGAAGTCTCCGACTGGTTGCACTTGGATGATGCGGCTCCAGGGGCGGAGGAGGACGATGATGGCGAGGAGGAAGGCGCCCAGGGCTGCGGGGCGGAGGAGGATGAGGAAGAGGAAGCAGCTGGTGGCAAAACGGGTGGGGAAGGAGGAGATGCTTTGCTGCCCACGGCTCGGGAAGCCATCCAGGGTCTGGAGACGGCGCTGCGCTGGCTGGAGGCGCAGGACCCCCGGGAAGTGGGGCCGCTGAAGCTGGTGCAGCTCCGCTCCCTCATCTCCATGGCCCAGCGGCTGCGCCGCGGCCGCAGCCCCCAATCCTAGGGCAGGGCCGATTTTTGGCTACCAACCACCCCTGGTTGGCCACGGAGCTGGGGACACCCCGGTTGTCCCAGGGGGGCGGCGGCGGAGGTGCCACTCGCCCCTCTGTGACCGTGACTCCCTGGGGATCGGAGAGCCCGGGTGCCTGTGGGTCACAATTCAGGGGATTTTTCCGCAACAACTCGAATTCCAGGGTTGTTCCTTACCTAAATATATTTAGGAGGTGCTGTTTTTTACATCCCTTGTGGCCCCTGGTCGCTGGCCCTGCCAGCAAAGGGGGGTGGGTGTTGTCCCCCCCCACCCCAAATTGCTCAGTTCTCCCAATTCCATGGGGAGAAGGGGCGAGGGAAGGACCTGCTCAGTGTCCATGGGGATGTTACACGGAAAAATAATCCCAGAGCAGGGTTGAGGAGGGCACGGCCAGCTCATGGGCCACTCCTGAAGTGCTGCAGGGGAAAAGATTCCACCTTGGAAGAGGCTGGTGACGCCCTTCCCACAGAATCCTGTTAAGCCAGGATGGTTTGGGGCTGATTTAAGACAGCTTCCTTCAGGCAGTGGATTGGGAAAGGGACACTTGGGTGGCATCCACGAGAAAGAGTCACCTCCATCATTCCCATCACAGCTGGGAACAGCTGGACCACGGAGGCCTGCTGAACCAGGTACCATCATCCGAGCACCCTCGTGGAGCTGAAGGCTCCAAGGATGGGGGTTGAGGTGTTCCTCACGGGGTTTTTGGGGTAGCCGCGTCTGGAGGACACCTTTGGGAGAGTCGAGGTCGGAGCAGAGAGGGCTCCTGGCACTACCTTGGAATATTGGAGGCATCTGATAGGAATTTAGCAGCTCCTGACCTGATTTGGATGACATTTTAGGGTGTTCAGCTGAACTACTGGAAGAGGGAAATCGAATTAACTCCTCAGTGCTGCCATGTCCCGTGCCGGCGGGCGGGTGGGGGTTTTTACTTGTCGGGTCTTTGTCTCCTCGCTGCAGAATTTATGGAAATTAAATGGATTTCTATTCCCACGTGGAGGCTGTCGTCTGTGAGCTGTCACGTGGAGCCATCCCAGAGGGATTTGGGGTGGCACCAGGGGGATCTTCATGGCGCTGTGTCCTCTCAGTGCGGCCTTCTGCACGCCATCGGGGTGCAATAATATAAAATCACATTTCTGTTTATCATCTTTTACACCAGAATCACCCCACAAAAAGATTCTGGAGCTTGGGATGTGGCTCATTTCAAACAGGAGCTTGTGAACGGGAGGAGGCTTCAGCTGTGTGACAGAAATGATGCAAAGATCAGCAGAAGGTGCTGGGCTGGAGGTCTTTGGGAGTAAAATTACGGAATGGTTTGGGTTGGAAGGGACCTGCAAGACCATCAAATTCCAAACCTCTGCTGTGGTCACGGACACCTTTCACTATCCCAGCTTGCTCCAAGCCCTGTCCAGCCTGGCCTTGGACAATTCCAGGAATGAGGCAGCCACAACTTCTCTAGGAATTGCATTCCAGCCCCTCACCACCCTCCCAGGGAGGAATTCCTTCCCAATATCCCATCTAACCCCATCCTCTGGCAGTGGGAAGCCATTCCCAGTGTCCTGGCACTCCAGGCCCTTATCCAAAGTCAGGGCTCAGCATCCAGATGTTCCCACCAGTGATGTTTTCATCCTCAAAGCAGTTCCCAAATCATCTCTAATTGCATCTGTGCAGGTGCTGGGGGGCAAGCAGAGCTTAATTGGGGCGTGCAAAAGGCTCAGATCCTCTCCTGATGGGCAAGTTTGAGTTTCTACCCCCTCCACATTCCTGGAGATGGGAGCAGATCAGGGCTTCCATTCCCAGGTGCCATGGAGGGATCGTGGCACAGTTCTTGTGGCTGGTTGAGCTCTTGCCCGTGGTTCTGGAATGTGGGCAGCATCCTCACGGACATGGGGATGCAGCCACCCTCCCAGCCCCAGCAGGGTTTAATTGGGATCACCTCATTCCCAAAATTCTCTCCCCATCCCCACACCAGCTCCATCCTTGGTGCCAGCTCCATCCCTGGAAATCACGGATGTCACCTCCCCACGGAAAGTGACCCCGTGGTGGCTTCCACAGCCCCGCCAAGGACCACAAAAAGCCCCAGCCCACATTGCTCTGGACACGTTTATTTGGTTCCAGCCCTGCAGAGGTTAACGCGTGTCCACACCACCTCCCACATTCTCCTGAAGATGTCAGGAGGTCCTGCTCCTCGGAGGAGCTCACTTTGGTCCCCAGCACCCCTCCTGTCCCAGAAGGGGCTCGTCCATTAATCCTTGGCCATGTCACACGCCCGGTTGGTGGCCGCCTCCACGGCATCCATGACGGTGGCGCGGAGCGCTCCCTTCTCCAGCTGGTGCAGGGCGTAGATCGTGGTGCCCCCGGGCGTGCAGACGTCCCCCCGCAGCTTGGCCGGGTGCTCCCCCGTCTCCAGCAGCATCTTCGCTGCGCCCTACGGCACGCCAGGACACCAGGAAGGT